CCTGCGCTCAATGGTTGACGTTCCAGCTGACGATTCCCAGTTGTTTGAACGGCGTATGAAGGATCGATACAAAAATTACGAACAATTCTTTGCGGATTTCCGAAAATATCAATTTGCAACATGCAGCTCCTACTACGGATACAATTCTCGGAAGTGAGCTCTTTGGGCAAAAATACACAAACATGATGCTCCAGAAGGATTTCCGTACTACGGTGACAAATTTTGTTGTGTTCATCATAAAAGACAATCTGCTAGTTGTCAGGTTAATGCAATGAATGATAATTAATTAATTAGATACAAGGACCATTCTTGTGAGGCGCAGGTCACCGTTCTTCTTGTAGATGGGATATACACCATTGTAAAGTGGTCAATGCTGCACAGTCATAGTTTTTGTGTAGGTAATCTCGGTCTTTACGTGCACAATAGGCAGTTGACACCTGAGCAAGAAACTCAGGTGTATGACATAATGCAAACCTTTATGCAAACCAGAGAACTTCGGGAATTGGCTTCTAGGAAGTTTGGTAGACATCAAGCAGCCATGATGTTTAGTCCATTCGCATGCGCTGGTCTCGAACAGATCAACGGACCGACGTAAAGCGTGTTAGGACTTTTTTAAGTGTACAAGGTCCATTTAGGAATTTTTTATCGCTACAGGTTTATACCATTTGGATTTTTTGTCACTGATAGGGTGTTAACACTTGGGGGGCGTTTCACAGACGTCATCCTCATCTTCGCCATCCATCAACTCAATTGTAGCGGGTATGTAATGTGGCATGCAATGTTAGTTCCCTGCCAGCAAGAAAGCAAAAATAACGGGAAATCTTTCGCGTTCTGCCCCGCGAAGTTTGCGCGCATAATTTTGTGAATGAAACGTGAATTTGCAACGGGCGCTTTGCGCGTGTTTTCCGTCGCCCACGAAATGAATCTCTTGTATCCATTCATTTCTTTTCTCGTTTTTCTACTCCCCACTTTACGCGTAATATACCTATCTTGATTATTTCTGATCCACAAAAGCCCTATACTTCCCACTTAACTGCTCCACCTACATTTCAACCAATCGGTTTGCTTCTGTCGATTTATTGTTCAACTTTTCAAAGACTATTCTTTATCAAGATACACCGTCGAGTAAAAGGCTCAAGAATGTATTACAAGAAAATTATAATACAGGAAAATTATAAATGTACAAAAATGAAAGTTGCGGTTTATTGAGGCTTGAGAATGAACTTCTTTAATATACGGGTTCCTTCTCGATAATTGTATTCACTGAACTGATGACGATAAATAGCATCTGCAAAATGGANATTAGTATCAATCGGGGAACTTGTAAAATAATTATCATGCAAAACATAGTTAATAATAATAATAATAATCTGTAGTTTATGAAGCTCGTGAAGCATGCACAAAGCATGTTCAAAATAGTTATATGTACAATAAAATTGCAGGTATATGGAAGATTATTTAGAAGATGTACACAATGAAGTTGGTGTGGGAACAAAACGAAAACGCAGTGCAAACGGACCACAAGTGGACAGAGTCTAAAACGTAGATATGGAGGATGGAAGATTGCACTAAATAAGCATGCCAATGAAAATTGAAACAACAGCGAAAATTTTATCAAGAGCATTCCAGGTGTGACATTATTGGGAGAAAATACAGCGAGGCAGTCTGTGAAGCAAGGGGCGNGAGAGGATGGAGACATGCGGATAGGAATGAATACGAAGTAGGAGTACAGCGAGTTCATACATTTGTCAATTTGCATGTTTCTCTGTATGCTGCAATACTACGTGCTTCTGAAGACATATTCATTGGGTTCGGGGCTTCGATCAGTCATGAAATGATTTACTTTATTTAGGCGTTGATTGCTTTGATGTGGGACTGTCTATAGGCTAGACACCCAACCTTAAAACACCCTGTAGGTGAGGCAGTGGGTGTGATCCTCAACCTGGTGCGGAACGCGGACGCATGTAGTCAAAACGGTTAAATCAACCGCGCACAACAACCATTGCCGAAGCCTATATTGTATATGGTGGGAGCAGACCCCAAGTCTTCGACAGGCCCAAGCCAACCGAATCTGGAACAAAAAGGCGATACTCAACAGTCAAGGGTAATACTCAGCTCAGAAGTTCTGGGGGGGACAAAGCATGTCACGAAACAATATGCAAAGTGGAATACTGCGAGTAAGTACGAATACATACATACATATGTATACGTAAATATAAGACTCCATAATCGATTAATATATATTATACTCAGAATAAGCGATCCATTGGAAATGAGTGATAACTGCCTAAAATATTATTTAAAAAATTACATAAAATAAATTCGAAAATGAAAATGGAAAATAAGATGAATTAATCATTACGAGATGCAAGCATTCCAAAGCTCATCAACTCATCAGTGCCCGTATTCAGCTTCAAAGCTGGATCTGTGGGACACAACTCCTTTTGGTACATGCTCATACAACTATTGTGATCCTTTAATCCTTACTTGATATCCTTCTGATCTCGTTTCTCATTTGAATCAATCAATAGAATTTTGTGGCACATGCCGCCCAGTGTTCACTTTCTTAACCAGAATCCCCTCAGTACAAGGATTCAGTCTGAAAGATGGATCTGTGGAACGCGACACATTTTAGTACATACTGATGAAATCATTGTGACCCGCTAATCTTTAAATGATATCCTTTTTATGTCGTTTTCATTAAACTCCTTTCGCCGATCAGGTAGCAGTGTTCACCTTTTCACCCGACCACTCATTTCTACACTGGTCGAGCCTCATAACTTTATCGGCGGAATACAAACCTTGTTGTTGAAAACGTACGTAAGTGTTGTCACCTGTGACTCTTCCGACTGAAATTTCATACCTTTATTTAGTCCATGTTTTCAATCCCACTTTCTTTGGTCAGCTATTTACATTGGTCAAGTACAATTTTCGTTCACCTCGTATTTTGATGATTGCTACGTATGTTGTTGCTTGCTGTTGTTATTCAGTCCTGAGCCCATCCCCACACGCACCTTATCAGCTTGGTTTCACTCCATGATGCGGAATAACTCATTTTGATTCCAAATTGAATTGGGTTGGGCCTGCCGAAGCCTTGCGGTTTACACCCGCAACGGACAATCTGGCTCCGACAGTGGTTGCTGGTCGTGGCTTTCTCCACCGTTTTGACTTTCCGCATTCCAAACCAGGTTGAAGATCACACCCCCTACCTCACCTACAGGGTGCTTTAAGGTTGGGTGTCTAGTCTGTAGTCAGTCCCACGTCAAAGCGACCAACAGCTAAATAATATAAATAACTGTATCCACTAATGGTAAGACCCCTGAAGCCCACTGGCCTTATTCATGTGAATGCTTGTTGAAAGACATTAGCTGAATCTCACATGACGACTTTGTTTTATCCGCTTCCATAACAGTCCGCCTTGCTCGGGTCATTTCCTTTCCTTCCATCTCTCCTTTTTCGCGATCTTGTTCTCAGGTCATTCCTTAAACAATGCCTTTTTTATTGCTTTGCTCTGACTACATTATCAAATACCGATCTTACAACGAATAACGTCGTCCATTATATGTCTCATGCTCAACGCAGTATGTGAGCCGCAGTCATGCGTTTTC